AGCTTTTCCAGCAATTTCTGTTGGTGTACGTTCTCATTTTTTTTAAATACATTAGAAAGCCATTTTTAAAACGACACTACTTTTCATTCCAATCCTATCTCCCGTTGTATTTTGTTTAGATTTCGTTATTTCCTCTTTTTTTAAAATTTATTTAGATTGATACAAATCATGTCTTGATTCGCTGTTGTGTCTTTATTCGTTTGATGTATATTTTGAGGGGGTTGTGATGTTGCTGCTAGAGAAAGGCACAATCTTTAAGTTGATCTCTCCCTCAGTTTGGCCATCCTGCTAATTGTCTTTCTGCGTTTGCTCAGTCTACCTCTTCCTGCTCCTTGTCCCTCAGATATTCGACTATCCGTGGACTCTGTGTAACGGCGGTCGCTATACTGGGTACAACTGTACCCCTCAATATTCTAATGACGGGGGAAAGGTTCCCATCTCCCCGCTCAATTTGCAATCAACGGACTCGGCGTGTCGGTTCCATCTTAGCCTTAATTAATGTGTAGAGCCTTTTAAATTGGATCAGCGACTAAACGGGATATCTCTATGCAGCGAGGAGTTGTCAGGAAGCGTTTTAATTATCGCGGGGAGATTGCATTAAATGTAATTTAATAAGGATCGTATTCTAAATAGACCATTAGGTGTCGGTAGCTTTTAAATACACCCTTTGTGCGGGTTGGAATGAGAATTCTGCTTTGTCTTATTTAAGAGTTGGATACTCTGCCAAACACGGTGGGTCTGCTCACGAGTCTGGGAATCGGAAACGGACAAACTCAGGGTGAATCCAGGGGGAAGGCGCTTTCTCCCTGTTGGCAGAGTTTCAATGTGGGCTTAGGGACTTGGGCAGAAGAGACGTGGCGTTTGGCCCTGAGACCGACGCCACTGAGCTGCTCACAAAAGACTATACTCGCGTATCAGCAGTGGAGAATGCGTTAGCAAGAGGGCTGGGGAGTGGGAAGAGTTGTAGGAGAGCCTGGTTCAAAAATGGATAGAAAACACAAAATTAATCCGTGAGGCGAGGAGCACGACAGAATAGAAAGCGAGGGGAAAAGCAAGCAAACAAAACCCTCCGAATCTGATGTGAGAAAACAGATGAGGACAGACAGGAGACGATAAAGAGGGAACATGTTTTATTAAACTCCATTGCCCCCTCATTCACTCATTTCAATCAATTAGTGTTCACATCAGTTGCTATTAGATGTGACTCTGATCTGTCCGGTTATCTGAACATCCATCTCCTTGGCAGGAGTACAATGAATTTAAAAAGCTTCACGGATACTGTTCCTCTCAGGATCAACTTCACACGTAAACGAAAGTTTTCCCCTAGTCTCCCCTATTCGGGAGGAGAAGACTGGCTCCTAAGCATAGCATCGCCTGCACTCAGCCTCATGCGCAGGTGGGTGCTGGGCGAGTCGGATAAACTGGAAATTGTGGGTTCAGTCATGCCGGTTATAACAAGCAACGCAGTCCCTGGATCCGACTGTTAATGATGTACTTATAACAACAGGGCATGTCGACACTGGGGATAATTGCAGTTTACGCCATAAAGCGCACAAAAGTGGAACAAACTTAGCGGTCCGTTTAATAATTTTGTTTCGATTTGCTCTGAGTTAACATAAATGACCGATAAGAATTTGATGATTGAATTTACATTAAACACAAAACATTCGATAATTGCCATTGTATTTTACAATAATACGAATAAGGGACGGATAATAAAGCTTGTTTAATATTTCCGTTTTTAACAAGAAAAATCATTGGGATATGATTTTATGTAATAATTATATATAAAACTAAATGCTCTCTTTTTTTCCTGGAGTGCACTTTAACCTCGAATGTATTCTAGCGTGATTTGTAGAAAATTTTCTTAAATGGGAAAATTCTTCTCATTGCAAGCTAAGCAAAATAAATGAGATGACATTTTAGTGGAGAATGGTGAGTCGAACTTTAAGAGACCTGGTGTCTATTTACAGTGTAATTTGAAATCCCAGTCTTTTTTTCAATTTTAAGGATGTTAGAACTGTGTAATAACACAACCGAAAGTATCAGCTTTTCAAGGAGATTGCTCTGAATCAGGCTCAGACATTTCTGCATCCTTAAACATACATCAAATAATAATTGGAAAATGTTTTTTTAACTTTCCTTAACACATTTCTGGATTGTGTTAAATTGGTTAATAGACCCCTTTTCAACCTGAAGTGAGAGCTCCTTCAGCATAGTCACCATTCAGAATTGAACATCTCTTTTGTTCCTTCTCAGCCTTGTGCCGATAGCTAACGAGGATGAAATGCTGATATTATACCCTCAAACAAGTTTTCATTTCTGTTAGCACCCCGCCGATGAGACACATTAGCTGGAATTCAAACAAACGAGAACAATGGTTTAAAATTCCTGGTGTCCTCTCCCTATCACTGAACCCCGAGATCTCAGTTTGTATACACACCAAGTTTTAACATTTTTAGGTGCCAGGTTTGGGGATTATCATCCGGAAATGGCCGGCTGAGAGAATGGGGCAAGGGGTAATTTTCAAACGCCAAAAACTGAGGGGACTGGCAGAATTGGTGGGAAAAAAGGGGCAACAGAGGAGGATCAATCGGGTACCACTTCCAAAGAGCTAGCACTAGCGTGGCTGGCTGAATGGCCTACATATTGTGTGATGTAAAATTCTCTGAAGTGGAATAAAAACGAGAGAGACAGAGAAAACCGGGCAGTAATTCATAAAGAGAGCATCAATAAATGATAGCATGAAGGCATTGTGTTAAATGTATCGGGTCTTATTAATATCTATAGCCTCCCGTTCAGGTAGCTGTAATGAAAAGCGTCGCTCTTGGTAATATATCAGGAAGGCCGAACGGGAGAAGTCAAAAAAAAATTCCTATTGATACAAAGTCTTTGACTAAAGCATCGTCCAATCTTTCAGGGACTTCCTAGGCCGCGTCACGTTTAATGAACGACTTTTGAATCCATTTATTTGTTAGACAAGCAAACATTTTTTCTAAAAAAAATAGCGGCAGTGGTATTATTTGCAATAATATCGGCGCACTTTCTATTAACTACGGGCTCCCGCTGTACAATTTATGTCCTGCTCCTACCCTTTATATATGGTACAATTCGGGGAAACCTACCAGACAGATTTCTATACATCAGGTTATAAATACTGAATACTCCTACGAGTTGAACAGTATTCATTTCTGTACATATTGCGTAAAATGTGCAGAATCTAATAACCATCATTGATTTAATTTGTTATGCGGAGTTTGGGAAAGAAATTTTCTAACACAAACGAATTAATTAATTATCAAAATAACAAAATTAATTAACGTTAATTTTCAGGCAGGCTATATTTAGCTCCAGACTAAATTAAATTTCAACCTGGCATCGTTACCTCGTTTCTGTCTGACTGTCCGCTTTCGGGGCTGGATAGTGACAAAAATGAGAGGAAACTGGCAACAATTTGATTTAATAAAACACACAATAAGTGACTGAGTATTAGAGTCTCAAATAATATTTCTCCGTGGTACTCCCGAAAAAAAAACTAAAAGCACAAAAATTCGAAACAGAATACCGAGGGAAAATAACATGGGTTTAGTTCCCCCTAACCTCACAGCATTTTTAAAGCGATCCAACTATTATATAGCTGGAGAGGCATTTACCAACATGTAACTGCAATTTGTGTACATTACATTATGAATATTGTTTTATTAAAACATATAAAATATTTCGTTTAAAATTCATTTTGAAACTTCCTCACGAATGTAGTTAGTGAAATTTAAGGCAATTTGATAATTACCGCTCTCAGATTTTGAATTTCAAAACAAAAACGCAGAGATTAAATACCTACATTGCGCAAGAATTCAGCCACACATACCCGTGGTTATCATCCTTTTATAATTAACAGATTTATATGTTTATAATATAATTATCAGCTCTATGGTATGTAGAGACATTAGTAATACGTTTAAATTCACATATTGATGGGAATAATTCCCACATTGAGAAAACAAAACGAGATGTGACACAGTCTGATTTACCCGCGCCCCCTACTCCATCACCCCACGGAACAAAAATAATGTGAATGAGGTAAATACTTACCAGACATCCTCGGAAGGTAGAAAAATTGATAACAGTGCCGTACTCGTGTTTGCATTTTAACACAATTGTTTGTGGGGGCTGAGGGTAAGTAAGGTTTGGTTTGTTTTGCATTCGAAATAGTTACTAGAATAGTTCAGATTTCCAGGTCGTGTGAAACGTTGAGGCAGCTCAGTCCGTCTGATAAACTAAATAATTTAAACCTAATTTGCTAACGTTGCATTAGGCCGTGCATTGTTCCTGAAAATATTAAAGCGAAGTAGGAGGGGGGAGGAGGTGGGATGTGATGGGAAAAAGTGCAAGACTAACGAATTCAGGAAGTTGTTTGAGCATTTGCTGATGAGATTTTCCATCTCTGCATATTTGTGAACAATAATCGTTTATTTTTCTTCTCTACCAGCCCAAAAAGATATGTAGGAGGCCGGGGAAGATGGTGATTTTTGCTTTTTTTCTCGAGTCTTTGTTGCAAATTGTATCTTTCCCCATTTGCTAAGTGACCTCCTCCCTCCTGCTCCGGCTCCGGGCAAGAGGAAGGCGCGCGTTGTCCCGGGAGGCTCTTGTCAATCAAATGGCGGCCGGCCAATGGAGATAGAGATCTCCGGAAAGGGGCGGTGTCCTCCCGGTTTCTCAATGGAGAGCCGCCGGTTGTTGACGTCACCCACGGGAAACTCTGAAGGCGATAGGTTAAGATATCTGTCCATCAGAGTGCGGTTGTAGCCAATAGCCGTGCAGAAACTAGCGGGTGGGTGGGGGACGATGGTCGCCGCTGTCCGAACTGTCAATCACTGACGCAGCAGACCAATGAGAGACGAAGACCCCGGGATTCTCGACGCACGGGCACAGCTCCCTGCAGAAAGTCGGATTTAACTCGGCATAGAGGAAATGCGCTCTTAATTGTTTATTTTGTATACATATGAAAATAATTATTCTATGCACATATCATTTTTATTTTTTTTATTAATACACTCAAATCAGGAGGAGGCAGGAGGAAGAAAGAAAACAAATAATCCAGAGCGGTGGACCGTGTGGATTTTCCTTTTTCTGCTTGTTTTGCAAAAATTTGCAAAAATACAAAACATTTGTTGGGGGGGGGCAGAGAGAGAGAGTGGATAAGCAAAAACAACACATTGGAGAATTGCGACTGAAATAGCGTTTTGTTTAAAAAAACATGGATCATGCTGCAATTGAGCAAACGCACTCACAACACGAGCCCATAAACTTTGGAATTGATCAGATCCTGAACAATTCGGAGCCAGGGAGTTGCATGCACCCGAACCGAGTTGCTGAGTCGGATTACCAGGTGGCAACCAACGTGTACAACTCCCAGCCTGATGGCTACAGTAATGCTTACAATAACGCCTGCAGTATGGCCGGATTGCCGGGATCCTATAATGTTAACATGTCTATGAATATGAATGTAAGTATGAATATGAATCTTAATATGAACAGCGGGGCCGGGGTGATCCGAGTGCCCGCGCACAGACCTATACCTCCTCCACCTCTGTCGGCCGGGATGCCAACTGTGCCCTGTCTCCCCAGCATGGGCAACATGGCAAACTTATCTAATTTAACTTTCCCCTGGATGGAGAGCAGCAGGCGGTTTGCCAAAGACAGATTAACAGGTGAGGTCTTGCATTCCGTGTGGGTGTTGGGTGAATGTCTGATATAACCTGTATTTTAGTTTCTTAATTTTTTTTTAAAAAAGAAGTTATTTCAAGAAATGTGCAGAGTTGGAGCAACCGGCGAGCTTTTCATGGTAGCAGGCACACTCGGGCCGAGTGGTCTCCTGGCTTATCCTTATCAATAATTTTATGAAATGCGGCAGTGGGGGCGGAGATGGGGGGTGGGGGAGACCCCGTAACCGAGTGAAGGAGGAATATTTAACAAAGAAACAAAGTGCATCTGGAGTGGGATAGAGATAGGGAGTTAGAGATCTGGGTGAGAGGGATCTGGGAATAATCAAAAAAGTGTTCCATAGAAAGAGAACGATAATTTAAAAAGGCCTGACTGAGACTTGAATCTCGCAATGGAGAAATGTTGACTCTATGAAAACTGAAGAAAGTGGTTGTTTTAAGAAAAAAAGAAACTGATCGAAAATTAATCATACAATAGGATTTTTTTTCCTGAAATTTAACGAAAATAAACAATATTTTGATCAAAACAGGGGCGCGTTGTCCATCCCACGCTGGAGCAGGGCGGCTGGCTTTATCTTCACCCTGAGGAATTATAAGAGATATTTAGGATAATGTGTTTCAATATTGATTTGGCCCTGTTCAGTTTTTAACTGTCTTCGTACAGACACACACTAATACCCCTAGGTCAGAATAATGGCTATAATATATGTATATTCTAATATTTAGAAATGTCCTTGGTAAATCGTTAATCCTATATTTAAAAGTACGTGCCTCCAAAGTGCATGCATCATTTAAAACATTGGCTGTGAATTTATCAATAGGGTCTGACCAGGAGTCAGACAGTGACTTGAACAATTTATATTAAAGCTTTCCAGCGGCCTTGTCTAATACATCACAGCGTCTTGCGGGATATTAAAACTTATTTTACTTCGAACTGAGGTCCCGTTTGCCTTTGTGGAGGGTCGCTCTCACGGTGCCAAGCTTACTTGCCGTGGTGTGAGCAGCTTTATTGTGGCTCTGAATCCCGTTCATTGATCGTTGCCAGTTTTAGTCGTTCCTGTCGGATTGTTCAACATCCAGAGATAGCAAGAACTGCCGATGCTGGAGTCAGAGTCAACACAGTGCGGAGCTGGACGAACACAGCAGGCCAGGCAGCGTTAGAGGAGCAGGAGAGTCGACGTTTCGGGTCTGGACCCTTCGTCAGGACTGGAGCCTGACCCTGATGAAGGGTCCCGACCTGAAACGTTGACTTTCCTGCTACCTGACTTGTTACACATCCACCAATTTTCTCTCTGCCTGTCGGAGCTTCTGTCTGGTTGCTGGCTCCCCAACTCAGGAAAAAAAGCTGAATCTTCATAAGCTTCTCCCTGAACCAGAATGAATCGTATTCAGTATATTGGAGACAACAAGGTGCAGGGCTGGATGAACACAGCAGGCCAAGCAGCATCATAGGAGCAGAGAGGCTGACGTTTCGGGCCTAGACCCTTCATCAGAAAAGGGTTAGGGTTAGGGTTAGGGTTAGGTATATTGTCATTTTAAGGACAAATAATCAAATTAACAGATATTCGCTCCAATATTAAGTAGGAAATGCATTGAACCCTTTTGAAACCTTTGAATGCAAAACTTAGAAAGAGTCCTTTAAGACATTGTCGTCAGGGAACTGGACACCAATTTCTTCAATATTATTTAAACCTAATTTTATAAAGTTCATATTTTGAATATGAACGATTTTTTTCCAAATGCACACACACATAATTGGCGTTAGGTGTTAAACTGTTGTTTAGTCTTACTTGCAGTTTATTCTAATCTCAATCATTTAAAAATACGAACCATTTTTAAGCTGAAACTGCGGATGATGGAAATCTGAAGCATAAACAGAAATTGTTGGAGTAATTCAGCAGGTCTGGTAGCATCTGTGGCGAGAATTAATGCTTTGAACCCAGCGACCCTTCGTCAGTTTCTCCAACAACTTATTTTTTGTTTTCGTCTCATTTTAACTTGGAAGTTGCCTCTTTAAAAAAAGTACTGTTGCTTTTGTGCTAAGTGGGTCTCTCATGCCGCTCATTATTTCAAAATGAAAGCGCGGAGCTGAAATTAACGATTGAACCGTTGAATTTCCCCGCTGACTGGGGAATCCCGGCTGCTTGTTCTGAAAACTGACGAGAGTCAGGGATGAGACAAAGAACTGCGGAGGCTGGGAATCTGAAACAGAAACAGAAATTGCTGGAGGAACTCAGCAGATCTGGCAGAATCCGTGGACAGGGTCTGAAGTCAACTGTGTTTTTGCTTTCTCTCGACAGACGCTGACTTTGTCCAGCGTTCTCTGTGTTTGTTTCAAATGTCCGAGATAATTGGTCATTATTCCTGGCGACCATGATTTGGAGGTGCTGGAGTTGGACTGGAATGGACAAGGTCAGAAATCACACCACGCCAGCTTATACTCCAACAGGTTTATTTGAAAACACAAGCTTACTGAGCCTCACTGCTTCTTCAGGTGTTAGAATGAGGCTCAGAAAGCTAGTGTTTTCAAACAAACCTGTTGGACTATAACCTAGTGTTGTGTGATTTCAGACCTTATTCCTGGCGGTTATGGAAGGGACATTTTAGATGTGGTGATCAACGGTAGTGAAGGAATGGACTTTCCGTAAGCCCCATTCCTGCGTCTCTCTGTAAAGGACCTAGTAGGAACTGCAAATGCTGGAGAATCTGAGATAACAAGGTGTCGAGCTGGATGAACACAGCAGGCCAAGCAGCATCAGAGGAGCAGGAAGGCTAACGTTTCGGGTCTAGACCCTCACTTCTGAAGAAGGCCCGAACCCTCAGCTTTCCTGCTCCTCGGCCTCCTGTGTTCATCCAGCTCCACACCTTGTTATCTCTATATGGAGTTGTGTTTCACCTCTGTGGGCTGCGGCGTCGGGCCTGGGGCTCACAGTTCCAAGACAAGACTTTGCAAATCCATACGCTTTCAAGCACTGAGGCAAAACCCTTCCAAGCGGCTTTAATCCCGCGGCAACTTTGGTAGTTGACAAAGAAATATATACTCCACGTCTGTCAGTTGAGAAACATCGGTATAATAATCTGCCACTTCCAATACTATATCCAGGGGTGTTGAACATTCACGCTTTGTTAATATTTAGAGCCTTTGGACACGCACACATGTCCACTGCTGACGGGATAACGAAATACATTCAGGATGATTCTGATGGAACGGTCACTTTACTAAATTAACGACGGTTCCTTTCTTTCTAAGTGATGCTTTCGATCAATATGGGTGATACTGGAAATCTCCAGAATGTAAGTGGGACTTTTTATTTGGAAACATGTAGAGCCCCCCGCTTCGGAAAAGTGGATCAGGGCATTTTTTTTGTTATTTACAGAAAAGGATAGTTCTAGAAGACGTGGGTGTCGCTGGCTAACCAGTATTTAGTGATTGGCCCTAGCTGCCCTTGAGACGGTGGTAGTGAGCTGCCTTCTTAAAACGCAGCCGCAGGGGAGGCGATGGCCTCGTGGTATTATCGCTGGCCTGTTAATCCAGAGACCGAGCCAATGTTCTGGGGAATCCAGGCTCAAATCCCACCACGGTAGATGGTGGAATTTAAATTTAATCAAGAACAAAACAAAAATATAGAGTTGTCCAATGATGTCCATGAATCTAACCGATTGTTGGAAAACTGCATCTGGTTCACTGATGTCCTTTAGGGAAGGAAACTGCCATCCTTACCTGGTCTGCCCTATATATGACTCCAGACCCACAGCAACGTGGTTGATTCTTAACCCTGGGATGGACAATAAATGCTGGCCGAGCCAGCGAAAGCCTCATCCCGTAAATGATCTTTTTAAAAAAAGGTCCTGGCTAGAGGGAAGTCAGAGGCCATCTCGCTCCAAACCTTATTGTTCCCCTCAGAGCCTCACGTTCCAGGTTTAAAAATATTCTTCCAAGACGTCTCAGAGGGAGCTGTTTGATTTATCCCAGAGGCAGAAAGTCACGAAGATTGGAACTCAATGTCCAGCCTACCCCTTGAGGTAGAGGGGAAAGATCCCGGGTCTCTATCGCAGAATTAGCAGGGGCAGTCCTTCCTGCTGGTCAATATGTAGCCCTCCCAGAACAATTACCAGCCACGATCACATTGTGGGATCTTGCTGGACGCAAATCCGCAGTCCGCACTTCCTCCCGTGGCAAGAATTGCAGAAACGTTTCGTGAGGTGTAAAAGGCTCTGGGAGTCACCTACACCCTCCTCAGCCGAACCTCCCCGCTCTGTCACCTCAGTCGCTTACATAGACGGGAGAAGAGATAGAAAAAAGAGCCGAAGATAGAACCGGCGCCGACTGGCAGCTGTAAAACAGGGATAGAGAAATTAAAGTACAGGATCAGCGAGAGGGCTTTAGTGGTAGGAAACAGAGAAGGGAAAATTGGATGAAAACGATATTTACAAAAACGAAATGGAGAGGATAATGAATAACTGAAGTAGGAGGGAGAATGTGGGTTAGATCTGCGGAATAAATGGAGATAAAGATTAGCTGTAATGAATGGAGATAATTGTGATCAGTGGAAATAAATATTGTTATTGTAATTATTCCCGCCTTTTACTTTTCCAGCGGATGTTTCCGCCCCGGTTTTTATAGGGATCACCGTTTGTAACTCGGGATTAGGCACAGATCCTTCCAGCAGTATTCCACGCTGTCTCTCTCACAGCTTTTGACACCATCCCAAGTGTTTAAGTCAGTCTGGGACTATTCCAGTTTGTTTTTTTTTAACTGTGATGGTCAGGGCAGGGTTGGGCGTCTGATATTTTAATTTTTAAAATATCGATTCGCACTCGGACATTGGAAATGAATTTATTGACAACAGATCATTTCCCAACGGCACTTCTGAGCTTTTTGTTTTCGCCGTGAGTGAGGAACTATCAGCGGAGTCTACGGTCTGAATTTTGTTGGAGGTGCCGATGCTGGACTAGGGTGGACAATGTTAGAAATTATCCGACATCAGGTTCCAATCCAACAGGTTTAGTAGAAATCACAAGCTTTCGGAGTGTGACTTCTGACGTTGTTGGAAATATGACATTTATTTCCAATCTTATAGCTCCGGGGCCGTTCAGACTAATATATAAAAAAATTCTAAACAATCAAAGATGTTACAACACACCTCGAGAGCAGGCAGTGCTTGAGGCTAGGTCTCCTGGCTCAGAGAAAGGAACATTACCACTGTTCCATAAGGGCCCCTCAGAGTGTCTCCGCAGGGACGAGATATTTAATTAATTCTCCCTCCCTCAGCTCTGCGTTTTTATTTCTATTCAAACAATTCCCTATTGAAAGCGACTGTTGAATCTGCTTCCACCCTTCAGTCAGGCAATTCATTCCAGATCATAAACTCATTATACAAAGTAAATTCTCCTTATCGCTCCTCTTTATTTGCCTAATTATTTTCAATCTGTGCCCTCTAGGGACATTTATAACCAGTTCCCCTTTCTCCACACAATCCAACCTTCTCGTGTTGTACACCTGTGTAAATGATTCACCTGTATCTCACTGTCCACTCTCCCAAGCTGACAGATGTCAGCTATCTTCCTTCTCTGGGAATCTCGTCGAATGTCATTTGTGAAACGAGCAGCATTTCTTTCCCGAATTCCTTCTTTGTTCAGATTCTTTCAAGGAATGTGGAAGTTACTGTCTAGCCCATCACTTGTTGCCCATCCATAACTGCCCTTAAAGGGAGTAACTTGTTAGGTCAGTTCAGAGTTAACTGTTTTGTTGTGGGTTACATGTAGCGTCATAGAGCTGTACAGCACGGAAACAGACCCTTCGGTCCAACTCGTCCATACCTACCAGATATCCTAAATTAATCTAGTCCCACTTGTCAGCATTTGGCCCATATCCCTCTAAACCCTTCTTATTCATATACCCATGCCGATGCCTTTTAAATGTTGTAATTGTACCAGCCTCCACCACTTCCTTTGGCAGCTCATTCTACACACGCACCACCCTCTGCCTGAAAAAAGTTGTCCCTTAGGTCCCTTTTAAATCTTTCCCCTCTCACCTTAAACTTATGCCCTCTAGTTTGGGACTCCCTTACACTGGAAAAAAAAACACCTTGGCGATGAGTCCTGATGAAGGGTGTAAACCCGAAACATTGACGTTCCTGCTCCTCTGATGCTACCTGACCTGCTGTGTTCCCCCAGCTCCACACTGTATTGACTCTGACTCCATCATCTGCAGTTCTTGCTATCTCCTTGGCTATTCACCCTTTCCATGCCCCTCATGATTTTATAACCTCTATCAGATCACCCCTCAGCCTCAGATGCTCCAGGGAAAGTAGTCCCAGCCTATTCAATCTCTCCCTATAACTCAAACCCTGGCAACATCCTTGTAAATCTTTCTCTGCATCCTTTCAAGTTTAGCAACACTGCAGGCCAGACCCAGTAAGGACGGTAAATTTCCTGACCTCAAGGTTGTTTATAAAACTGATGAGTTTGTTGTACAATCGATGATGATTTAATGGCCACCAATGAGCCTTCAGCTAATCGAATTCCCACCTGGATCACCGAGTCCCCATTCTCCATCCCCCCCCCCCCCCCCTTTTCTCTCCCATACTTTATGAGTCAGGGTAGCTGACTTCATTTTTGACTGGACAGCTGATGAGTGATGCCATAGGTTCAAGTCCTACAGTAGCCAAGGTTACCATGAAGGTGTCTCAAACTTGGCTGAGGCGTGGTGACTCAGCTTGAACCGCCCACCAGTCATCACTCTCTAACGAGAGAGCAGCTCTGTGGTCTGTCAGCATTACAATGCCTTTACTATCTTTTATCCAAAAAGCTTACTACATCTAATACTTTTAAAGTATTAATGCCACAGTTTAGTGCTGAAACAAAAGTGCAATCATATCTAAGCGAAGGAGGCACACAAGGCCAATTAATTATTCAGGTTAGAATTAGGGAGAGACACAGGGGAAAGACGCCCTACGCGTGTTTAAACAGCTGAGGAGAGATGGGAAAGAGTGTTCAGGCTCTGGTGACTAGGAATTGGGATGGGCTGCCTGATAGGATGGGGAATGAGATTCAAAGAACTGTTAAAAAGAGACTGGAAAAAGAAAAGCAGAACAAAAGGCACTGAACAGTAGGGATCAGGCAGAACAGCAAACAATCCAGTCTACAGAGGGTGGGCTCTGGCAGCTTGGGATGTTGAGGGAAATGGTGCACTGTCTTCCTGCTGAGTAGCATGGTGCTTTGTTTGATTGACCAGCGGATAGAATCACAGAGGTCTACAGCATAAAAACAGGCCATTTGGCCCAACTTGCCCATGCCGTCCAGTTTGCACCATTGAAACTAGTCCCATAGATAGTAGGAACTGCCGATGCTGGAGAATCTGAGATAACAAGGTGTAGAGCTGGATGAACACAGCAGGCCAGGCAGCATCAGAGGAGCAGGAAAGCTGATGTTTCGGGTCTGGACCCTTTTTCAGAAAATTTTTCTGCACCTTGTTATCTTAAACTGGTCCCATTTGCCTGTGTTTGCTCCCTATCCCTCCATACCCATCCATGTATCTGTGTCAACGTTTCTTAAATGATGAACTTGTACTCACTTCCACCACTACCTTTCCAGACACTCACCACACTCTGCGTGTTAAAAAAAATGCCCATCCGGATTCTT